CTTGAATCCAACCCAGGTGTCGATGGTGCGGGTTCCACGTTCAATGTCTTGGCAACACCTACGCCACCATAACATTGCGATATCAGTCAAATACATAATGTCTGTACGTACCTGAGTTTGGTTGTCAATGATGCCAATGGCGGAGAAATATTGCTCCAATTGCCACAAGAAGTTGTCAAGCTCCCTAGCATCCCGAGCACCCGAGTAAGGTGTTGGCTTACGAATCTTGATGTGCATGGAAGCTAGGGTGGAGGGAGTGCTAGATGAGTTGGCCACCGCCCTCTAGGAGAGTCATCTCGTCCAATTGCGCTTGAAATCTGTCTAGCAAGCCCTGTAGGCTACTTTGGGAAGGCCCTGCTCCCGAATTTTGTATGGTGGTGTGCATGTCTCTGAAGGTGCCATTGAAACGTCTTAATTCCACCACTGCATTCTCAACAGTCTCTAGGTTGAGGTGGAGTTCATCGACCCGATCTTGGGTTTCTCCCACTGTTGCCTCACAACGTAGGATGTGCATGTCCATGCTAGTTAGTTGGTTGACAGATTTGTCACGCTTGCTAGCTTTAGTTGTGCGGCCCTTTGGGGCTTGCATCTTGGCAGGATCGTCGAGTGGAGCCTCATTGGTGTCGTGGGCTTGGTGCAGCCCGTGTAGTATGCCATCGGCAATGTCACGGTTGCTCTTCATTGTGCTGAAGCAGGGGCGCAGACAAGGTCYAATGTGTGTGTAGGAGCTCCTGCTCTAATACCAACTGTCATGGGGCTAGTCGTTGGGGCCCCGTGCGACACTCGAATGCGACGAGTAAGCCTAAGCAACAAGCAACAACACAAGAAAAGGCAACAAAGATGGTACACAAATTAGACAAAAGGCAACTTGTATTGCATTAATAGATGGCAAGCATAAGCACACAGTTTAGTGTCGAGGGGATCTCATGCTTAACCTTTACATGCTCTTSATTCACTCGACTACCTACCTCCCCTCAAAGAGTACGTTAAGCTTTTGGGGGAGTGACAATAGGAAACATCAAAAAGGTGAAAAATCATACTATAGAATTATAGTAATGCCATTGGCAATCCCCCCATACAAAATCATGCAATGCCCCACCCAAGACACACACTTGGACACTCGGATGGCAGGTTGTGGGCGTGTTGAAGGCACTTGACGGCAAATTGGTCACTTGTGACAACCAGGCACCTATCCTGATAGAGAAAAGAAATGGGCTAAAGGAAGGTCCAATCCTGCTAAGACCATGGGCGTCACAACCCATATTCATAGATTACACGCAAGTCAGCCCATGAAACTGAGTCCTAACAGCAGTTTTGGCCAGCTCAAGTTGGACCCATGGAKTTACAACAGAGATTGAGAAAATCTTGTAGAATTATTTAGATTTCAGTTTCTTTCCTTTGTTAGCAAGGTTTTCCTTGTTTAGTTACGTCTAAGGGTGTCAATAGACCGGTTTTTGGACTGGACCCCGTCCAGTCTAAAATCAATTTGGATAGACCAATAAGACATATTGGATTGGACCAATCCAGTCCAAAATATTTATTAGATTGGATTGGACCTGGTCCACCCACAATAAATTTATATTGGATTGGATTGGATTAGGCCAATATCTGGTCCATTGATATAAGATAAGAACATAGGTGTCAATGGACCGGGTTTGGGTTGGAACCTATCTAAATTAAAACGAATTTGAACAGATTGGACGGTCCAGACATTGAATTGGACCGGTCCAAAATATTCATTGGATTGGATTGGACTTGGTCCATTTGTAATGGACTCACATTGGACTGGATCGGATTGGACCAAATCCAGTCCAATTGACACCCCTAGTTACATCTGTAAAGAAGGTAATTATCTTTTAAATCTTAAAGAGATTTGATGCATGAACGAATGGAATTCAAATTGTTATTGCAATTTTATGTTTTGGAGTGGACTCTATTAACCTAATAGTGTTGACTCGACTAGACTGTTGTCTATCCTTACAAGTTACAACAAGCACATTCTTTATGTTGCTTTATTTTGGTTGTATCTGTCATTTGTCTTAAACTTTATCCTTCTTTTCCTTGTTTTTGCCCAACCTCTCTTCTATTGCTTTATCCTGCTAGCACTGTTTTCAACCTGTTGTTGATTTAGCCACTCAGACTAGTGACCCAGTCATAATTCTGGTTCGGCTCAACCTTTAACCTGCTATGTTATAAAAACCCTTGACTTGGTCAACAACCTATTTACCTGGACGGTTGAACCATGACCTGTCTTACCTGTTCAACAGGTCATTGTTTTTTGTATTATTTTATTTTTTTGAAAAATTTTACAGTGATGGAATCATAGATTGACCTGGTGGTCCAGATGGTTGAACTGCTGGTGTGTTGACCCTTGGAGAAAAGCAGTTCAAACCTCCAGGCCGAGTTATAAAACACTGCCCTCTAATTCTCTTTATTTATTTTTTGTTCTCTCAACGTTTTCCCTTTTTCTTCTTTACTTCTATTTCTAAGATTTCTGCATTTCTCTTAGGACATTAGAGACTCCATGCTTACATCTTTAATGTTCTGAATCCCTATGCCCTTGCTAGACCTCTATCTGCCTTTTGTTTCATATAACCATCCTATAGGGCTTGTTTGAACTCTTTTAGCCACCTTACTGGTTCTATTTCACTTGATTTGCTAATTGTTGAAACTCTTTTTAGTTCCACCCAGCCTATTTTTTTGGGTAAAACTAAGCTAGATCTCAAAGTAACAATCTAAGTGCTACGCGGGCTGGTTCCTGCTTACTTAGGCCGATTTCCTAATTAGATGCTGTTTGGGTGTGTCCTGCATCACATTCAAAAAYGTGTTCTTGTTTGATTTCCCTTATTGTATGTTATGTCTTTTATGGAGTTGTGAGTAAGTGTGTTTCATCCCAGGAATGGGAAAAGTGAAAGAAATTAGGCAGGTAAGTTAGTTAACAATACTAATAATCAAGTTACTCTTTTCGAAAGATGTTTTGACTTCCATTTCAACAATGTCTCTTGAGCCTCTCTAAAACCGGAACCTAAGTGGCATGCTATTGATATGGTACAATGGTGAGACAGGATTTGTGTAGATTACCCCATGTAGTTGGGATCAAGGCTTGTTGAATTGAGCCAAGCTGACTTTCACGCAAAGCAAGATGCTTTTTTTGAATAACTACATTCTTTTGTAACTGATCCTCAAACACAAGCCTGAGTTCATCATCATCATCATGGTGAGACAGGATTTGTGTAGATTACCCCATGTAGTTGGGATTAAGGCTTGTTGAATTGAGCCAAGCTGACTTTCACGCAAAGCAAGATGCTTTTTTTGAATAACTACATTCTTTTGTAACTGATCCTCAAACACAAGCCTGAGCTTCATCATCATCATCATCATCATCCATGCCTTATCCCAACTATATGGGGTTGGCTACATTAATCATGTTTTGCCAATCTGTTCTATTTAAAGACATAACCACTGTTAAATTATTAGTTCTTAAATCATTTCTTACTACTACCCATGTCCATTTTGGTCTACCCCAAGCTCTTCTAGCTCCTTCAATGTGTAACAAACCACTTCTACACAAGCCTGGGCTTCTTGATCTAAAATATTCAAACCMTWAATTCCCTAGTTCRACCTTTTATTAGATTTTCCACTCTACTGTCAAATCCCCTTCTTCTTTGCTTATTTGAATATCATAAAAACGAGACATCTATAAAAGAAATGCTAATGATCTAGATTTCATAAATGTAGCACCTTACAAGGGCTCCATGCTCAACTGCATTTCTGTTTCCTTGTGGCAAGTTTCAGACCAAAATACCCTTTCCATTTTTGGAAATTAATGCCCCCTTCTGATATATTCTTTTAACTAAAATCTATAATTTTATTGAATGGGATTAGAAGGGAAGGTTCCAATAATTTTATATAAAAGCTGACATGGAATAGGTATCTGTAGTATGGGCAATCCAGAAAGTGCTTTCGTCATCAACGTTCTGGATTATCCTGCCAATCCTCCATTGGTCAAAATAGGAGAKATGATAWAGGTAAGGAAATATAGGTCACCCGTCACCTGTATATTTGTTTGTACTGTCAGTACCTTATACGTGATCTAGGGTGAATAACTTTCTCTGTGTCTAATGTTTTTTTTTTTTTTGATCAATTTTCTCTGTGTCTAATGTTCAAAGGATGGGATCTGATCATTGGATTGGTCCCACTGTAAAGAGATTAGCTGGATAACAATTGCAACCATGTGCTTTTATTGTATTCATTGGGAAATGGGAAACATTTACTAGGTCTTAGAAAGCTCCAAAAATAGCACTGACAAGATGACAAACCTAAAAGGGCATATTATACCTCCTTTTTCCTTCGAGTGGTGGTATTGCTTTGGGGGTTGAGGGGGCAATGAACTAATCAAATTTMATAGAGAGCCCTGCTAATTTGTTAAAGGTTGCTAAGTTGTTAAACTCTTTAGTTTCTAGAAGCTTACTGATGACCTAAATGCCTACCCAATGAGGAAGAAATTGCTAATCTGCATCTTTCTTTCTTTCTTTCCACTGCAGTTACCACCAAATAACTGAGGTTGTGTTTGGATAAGCTTCAGTATTTGTGCTTTTAAAGCTCAAAGGGAATGAAAGTGTGTTGGCTTTAGTTTTTTACATTTTTAAAAACTAATTTAATTGTGGTGGTGGTTGATATCTCTTTACTTCATTTTCTTGCATGTTTATTGTTTAATTTCCCTGTTATACAATGTAGCAGTAATTCTTTTTTTCCTGATATCTATTTTTGATTTATGACTTCGAAAATGATGCAGGAAGAACTTTAACATGAAGAGAGGACAACCACATGCAGAAGCAGCTCCCATATTTGATAAAATTGTTTTTAGCAAGGTACTTGATGTATATTAATAGCATCTCTCTCTCTCTCTCTCTCTCTCTCCTTTTATTCTTTCTTTCTTTTTTTTTGCCTGGCGGACCCTGCAATCTTGATCATTCTGCAACTCAGGTGAAGCAAGGGTTGGGAGGGAATGTGCGACTTATTCTATCAGGTGCAGCACCTCTTGCTACCCATGTAGAAGCTTTTCTGCGTGTGGTGGCTTGTGCTCATGTTCTACAGGGATATGGTATGCACTCTTTTGGATTGCTATCTGGTTATATTTATAAGTTTTCTGTTAGTTTTTAACGGCTGATTGGCACACTTTGTATTATGATTCATTCATTTCCAAAAAGTTTATGGCTACCAATAAAAAAGTTTTTCTTTGTGTTTTTGACACCTCTGAATAGAAAATAAAGTTGAGCTGATCTTGCTATAATTTCTCATGAATTGAAGTTTAGTATTTCTTAACCATTCTGAGTTAGCTTTCTGTGTCCAGTCTTGTTACTTCCACTGTGCTCTTCTGTTTCAATTATATCYGGGTCTTGGTAGTAAAAGTATTAAGGAGAAATTTGATAAATCCTGAATCAAAACCTGTAGTTCTAATCCATAATGGGAACATGGGATTTATCCACTGCTTTGTTGATGAAATTGATAGACARGTGTAGTATTACCAATGGTCTATACATGTTGTATGAGAATGTCCCATACTGAATGTCTGTCATTGGCATGCTGCAYACTATCATCGTCCAGAATAAAAAAAGGGCATTACCCAATGTTGGTCCCAGTTATCTGTGGTCTTAGGAGGGGTGGACAGGATACAGACCTAACGTTTGGCATTTTTTTTTATTTTTTTTTGTGCAAAGCTCTCAGACTTGAACCCTCATTCTCATGCTTGTGACCCTGAGATTTTACCAAGTCTGGATGTACAAACAGGTACGTACAATATAGGCTATGAGACCAATCAAAAGTGAACACATCAGTGTTCCGTAAACATGGGGCCCACACCTTATGGGTACAGAACACTGGTGTGTTTTCACTTTTGATCGGTTCCAATAACTCATTGTACACACCTTTGTTTGCAGCTCGACTCATTCAAAATTTACCAATATACCAAGCAATGTTCCCTTAACATCATCCAGAATAAGTGTAACCATTGAGGAGCATTGTAGCCTTAAGGTTCACTTCAGATATGACCTATCTGACAAAAGGTACCATTTGGTATGTTAAATTATTGTGAGCAGTGTTTTAGGAATTACGGCAGAATTTAACCTCATTGGTAGTTTTTGCCTAAATATATTTATGTTTCTGTTTCATCCTCGGTGCCCATGAGCAGAGTAGAACTGAGTCAGTGACTATATTTATTCAGAACTATTTGGGCCTTTTTCATAAGCTTAAAGATGGTTACTTTTACCAAAAAGAAAAAAGGTTAATTGATAATTTAGTTAGAAATTTGTACCAGTGTTTTTAAAATCCGACCTGGAGGCTGAACCATTTTTTTTCCTTTGGGTTGAAGGCTAGAGGTTGAACTCTCTGGGTTGAACGGGTCGGCCAGCGTATGCATTTACATTTATCTATGTGCATATATAAATATAATATGCATAATTATATAATTATATACATGTATATTGTGGATATATAATTATATTCTGCATGTAACATATATATATATATATATATATATATAGCGCAAATAGATCACCCAAAACTGACCATTGAGTGCAAAGTTATGGTCTCTAGAAGTTTTCATATAAATTGCAATTTGCAACTTGTGACACGTTGCCTGGGTTGATGGTTCTTTGACCAAGTCAATGGTTTTGGAACTGATGCCAGGTGATGGTTCGAACGGTTCAACCGCCCAGGTCAATGACGGTTTGAAAACACTGATTTGTACCTTGTTGTAGCTAGTGCCTCCCTTGAACCCAATGATGCCCCTTTCAAAAGGTGTGCCAGGGTTGCCTTGCACCTCGGCCTAGGCTTGCACCTTTTATAAGTATGCTTTTTGGTTACTTTTTTTTATAAATTCTTATGTGTTGTACAACTTTGTAATGGTCTATTAACTTTTATTGGTGCTTGTGCGTGATGGCCTATTAATTTTCAAAAAAAAAAAAAAAAACAAAGACCTTTTAATACCTAGGGCACTAGTCATTGTGGATGTGATCTCAGATAGCTTAAAATAGAATGGTTTGTAACCAAAATCACAAAGCCAACCCTTGCATAGGTTTGTCTCCAGGGCTTTTCCTCTAGAATTAGGAAAAGCAAGACATGTAAAACCACACCAGCTACTTGAAGTAATGCAACTAGGAGATAGACAAACATGTTGAGAATTTTACATGCTTCAATTGTAAGGCAAAGTCTTCTTATGTCTGTGCCAAGTACTTCTCTCACATAAACTCATTGTAAATGATATCTGGCACCAAAGTGAACCCTATTTAAATTATTGTCATCCACTCTGAGTCTTTTGGACGGTCACAAAAAGCATTGTATATTATAAGAAAGTTATGCACATTGGTTATAAACATCTGCTCATATAACTTAGTTGTGTAGCATATTTCCTTGGAAATTAATTCCTAGTCCCTCCTCTACACGTGGCAAGACAAGTGTGTGCAATAATTATACCAAAATTTCATCAGATCATGATTATATCCTATCAGTACATGATAGTCTGGATGCTTGAGATCAGATGGCCTTTCTTTCTGATGCAGGCTTGACAGAAACCTGTGCGGGGACATTTGTCTCGCTACCAAACCAACTAGCTATGCTTGGGACAGTGGGACCTCCAGTACCAAATGTGGATGCATGCTTAGAGTCTGTCCCGGAAATGGGATATGATGCCCTTTCCAGTAAACCACGTGGAGAAATCTGTGTACGTGGTAATACCCTATTCTCAGGGTACTACAAACGCGAGGATCTCACCAAAGAGGTTATGGTGGATGGATGGTTCCACACAGGTTTGTTTAACTTTGCATCTATTCTTCAATAAAATGTGGATCCACAATTTTGGAAATTTGTTCTTCATCAACCTTGGTCTTACCAATTGTTTGTATGCAGGGGATATTGGAGAGTGGCAACCAGATGGGAGCATGAAAATTATTGACCGAAAGAAGAACATTTTCAAACTCTCTCAAGGAGAATATGTTGCTGTCGAGAACCTGGAAAATGTTTATGGTCTTGTTCCTGCTATTGATTCGGTATGTTGTGTAACCTTATTTGGAAATGAATGGAATTCCTTGACTGGGGAGGGAGGGGGGGTAAGGGAATGAATATGTTTTTGTTCTATACATGAATAAACTTTATTGCAATGTTTGATAGATTTTAAAGAAGAACATTTTCAAACTCTCTCAAGGAGAATATGTTGCTGTCGAGAACCTGGAAAATGTTTATGGTCTTGTTCCTGCTATTGATTCGGTATGTTGTGTAACCTTATTTGGAAATGAATGGAATTCCTTGACTGGGGAGGGGGGGGGGGTAAGGGAATGAATATGTTTTTGTTCTATACATGAATAAACTTTATTGCAATGTTTGATAGATTTTAAACAAGAAAATTAGTATACTGTACTGTTGGTTCTTCAGCAATTAGAAAAGTAAGGCAAGGGAAATAAGAAGAAAAAACAACGACTCAAAATTGATGTTTTTTTCTGGGGAATATATGCACTCTACACATAAAACATATGTGCATATGAATAAGCAAGGAGAAAAGAAGAGAATAAGAAAACAAGTTGTTTTTCCTGGTAAATTTGGATTCACTAAATTAAAATCTTAACAGACAAGAAGAGATGAAATTGTATTTGTGCCATAAGGTTGTTTTGGAAATATTTCACTGAGTAGAGAGATAAAAAACAGAATGAAGATCTTCCCACCCCACATTCTGTGCATATACTGACACACACAGGTAAGCGAAGAAAGTGTGTGGATGCACCTACTTACCCTTGTACAACAAAACAGTGGAAAAATGCACATATTGATGGACAAATCACWTGTCTTGGAGAGAAGTTTCTTATATTTTTTACTCATTATGCCCAGACAAATCTCATGGTTGAAGGCCCATGCCAAGAACAAAGGAATTAGTTGTTGATTTTAAATATCACTTGGGAAGCTGATGTCATTGTTCCAGTTTGTTTTTCTTTTATTTTCACCCACTTGAGATGTGCTTGAGTTTGTGCTTATTGAGAAGATAATCCACCTTTCTGTTTCAGATATGGATTTACGGGAATAGCTTTGAGTCCTTCCTTGTTGCTATTATCAACCCCAATAAGCAAATCCTAGAACGTTGGGCTGAAGAGAATGGAATTTCTGGGGAATTTAATTCTCTTTGTGAGAATCCCAAGACTAAAGAATACATCCTTGGTGAACTCACAAAGATTGGCAGAGAAAAGAAGGTTTTCTCCTCTTGCTCCTATACAGAGATTTTTACTGTCATTTGATTACTCAAAATTTGGTGATCTTAATAACTGTGCTAATGTTCTTGCAGCTAAAGGGTTTTGAGCTTATCAAAGCTGTGCATCTAGAACCTTTTCCATTTGACATGGAGCGTGATCTCCTCACACCAACATATAAAAAGAAGAGGCCTCAGTTACTCAAGTATTACCAGGTTAGCTTCTCTTGGCCTTTCCTTGGAACCTTAAAATCATACCCTTAATTCTATACTGTGATGGTTTGATTCTTGCAACAGCCATGACCTCAGTAGAGGAAAACACTGTTTAATAAAAACTTTCCAAATGTAAAAGTCAGTACAGTGCCCATTAGGGAGGGCGTTCATCTGTGTCTTTGGCTTTGTGAGATGGGGTCCACCCAGAAAATCTATAAGCAATATGGGGTTAACATCCAGAAAGCCACGTTTTGGTCACCATAGAGCCATTTACATGTCTCTAGACCAGTCTCTTCCAGTAGCTTCTTCAAATCAGCTGAACCAAAGTTAAAGCCCTTCCTAAATGGGCCCATAAACTACCTCTGCAAGTGTTTTTCCTTAATTCCTATATGATAATAATTAAATTTGATGATTATCTCATTGGAATTTCCGCCTATAATTATAATTCATGTGTGCTTTATAATGTATTCATTCTATTAGGGTATAGACCTTTTTCTTTTAATCTCAACCCGCAACCCCACCCCCCAAGCAGAACAGAAGAGAATAACAAGAAAAGAATGTAGTGTCTAATGGCACCAGTAAACATGGCTCACTGATTGTTATGTTTTACTCTTATCAAAAAGCGAAAAAGAATAAATCAGCTCTTGGATATAGAAGACCATTTATTAGGTTTAAAATGAATAGAGAATCTATATAGAATGGAAGGTTCCTAGGATTAAAATTTTATTCAACTTTCTTTTGCACCGTTACCTATCGAAGAAGTTTCTGGATTGAAGTTTTTAGAGGATGTATAATAAAAAGCGGATAACCCCAAAAAGTTAGTAGTGGTCATCTTACTAAAAGAGAACATTATGTGTATCATTTATTAAGCATGTGCTTTCTCTTTCTTTATTTWTTTTTATCAATAACAGAAATTTCATTAAATGATTGAGTGAGGATACATAGGAGGGGAGCTAAAATACATATAAATTGCACCCTCATGTCTCCAGGGCAAACAAACAAAACAATGCTGAAGTGATTTATTGTGCATGTTTTGTATTGTGTATTATATGAACCATTACTGACTGAAGAATTTTCTTCACAGAACGTCATTGATAGCATGTACAAAAGCGCCAAGTAGTCGGACGACCTTGGTGAGACCAAAACATGATAGGGTGCTTGCTGATTTAGGGGCTGTAAGCTCATCTTGTTCCATGTCAATTTCATAGATGCATGGTTTTTCTTTGTTCTGAATGTACATATTCTTTATATATTAGATGCAGAAAGTATGTCTTAATGTCTGTAAGTTATTGGGGGCGTTTTCTTAAAATGTCCCGTATTGCCTAAAAAAAAAAAAAAGAAAAAAAGAGAGCTTTGTTCCATGTCAAGCTCCTTATGAATTAGATCATTTGGGTCTTTGCCGAAATCATCATCATTTATGTTAAAGAAGAAAATGACATAGTTGGCTTTTAAGAGGGCTTTGGAACGTTTGTATCAAAGCCTCAAAGGCCTTTCAATTTCTATCTAAATTCAAAAACTCTTCTCGCAAACAATTGACAAAAAATGAACATATGGCGCTTTTAAGTTTTTACTTTTAACTCCCTCGATTCCTGCTTGATACGGGTCCCTTTTATTATTTTAATAATAAAAAGAAGTACTTGTTCTGTAATGACCACAGAATAGAGAATTATTGGCTCCTACCTGGTCGGGGGTTGTGTGTCCGACCAAATGCATTTTTCAGTTAATATTTAGAATTTAAGGTTAGGGTTTAAAAATTTAGGGGTATAGGCTTTTAGGGTTTAAAAATTAGGTTTTAGGTCGATTTGTGCATACTCCAAGTGTTATGATTCCTGTTGAACAAGTTTCTTTTGGGTCAATAATCTATTTTTATGCTTTCGAACAGTTTTTATTTTATTTTTTATCAGATGTTTTTTAATTATAAATGATAACAGCTGACGTATTAAGTAGGTCGTGTTTTGAGAACTGATGTAGAGCATACGTACCGTATCCGTATAATCACATATATATGGACACGTGGATACTTTCCAAGTTTCTATCATTCCATGGTGTAATGTGGGACGTCAATCATGTAATGCTCCTGATAAGATGACAAGTTGGTGGACTTTTGGACGGTGGATCAAATTAAGTGTGATTTCTTTTTGTCGTCGTCGTTGTCATCATCATCCTTGGTTCCTAACCCTAAAAACGTGCATGCTCCACATGTATTTTAGAAGTATACAGTCGCAAATCTATTACGCAGCATGAACAGTCATAATCAATCTCTATACGTTTCTACATCTAAATCAAGACAATCAGCATTCACGAAACCATCTCATCACCCAGAAGCAGAATTGAACCAAATAACTGCATCATCGATCGATCTGGAAATTAAAAAAAGAAGAAATACATATCACCATCACGTATCACGCCAGGCCGCCACCACCGCAACCCACACAACCCAAAAGAGGGAAAAGGAAAAAGGAAAATCCCTGGTGAGTGAAGGCTTCCGTAAAGAGTTGAAACTAAGCACACTCACCCTTAGTCCATAGAATTCACAAACCCACAACCCACATTACCATAATTGTCATCTGCATCCCCTGATTCAACCTTCCACTGGTTTGATTTCACCAAACCACCGACAAAGCAAAGAACTGGTTTGCTTTTCTCTCTCTTTTCTCTCCATCTCCTATTCATTGCATTTGCATTGCAACAGAACTACTAACTCCAGTCTCCAGCTACTAATCAACCAACCACAACCACAACCCAGGCAGGTATTCCAACGAAAAACCCACTGCACGCCCACCGGACCCGGGACGATTTCACTAAAAGCGGGTTCACGGGGTTCCATAGATTTCAGATTTCAAAATCCGAAGGTACCAAAACCATTGTCCACTGAGCTCAAAATCGACGGCAAGCAAATCGCCAGCGGCTGCTCCTTTTGTTCTGTATCTTAGCTAGCACCACACCTGCGGCCAGCTGCCGGACCGGACCCACTACATCTTTATGCTTTTTTTTTTTGGTGAAATACATCTTTAGGATTTATGAGAGAGAGAGAGAGAGAGATCAGCCGGTCAGCCCACAATGCCACAAAATATCGCGATTTGATAAACTGGAAAAGGAAGGTGGAGTGTTTGTACGAAGCGGAAGCCCGGTTCAGAGACTCGGAACCAAGTACAAGACACGTGTGCGGCAGGTCTCCGGGGAATCCGAAGAGTCAACAAATTTCTGTCAAAGGAAAAGTGAGAGAGAGAGAGAGATATACTTTGGTGGTGGTCCTTCCTTCATCCCAAGCGCCACGTTATTAATTTTCTAGAATATTAAAAACCAACTGGTGGGACCCATTTCTAAATCCACGATATCTCCAGCCAAAATAAAACACTAAAATGAATTTGTTGCACGTAGTCGTTGATCAGTTCTCAGCCGTCCACGTTGCGCTTCCAAATATACACGTCGTCATATTGTTATCCGTGGAAGACCGCCGTATCTAGATATAGGTGGCGGGAATCCAGCGGATGTTGGTATCYGACGGTCCAGATTCTGTCCTTTTCAGGTTAAGTATTTGAATACAGCTGAAGTGGTGTGGTGGTTTCATGCTTGTCGCTGTGTAACGAAACGATCATGTCGCCGGATTCCAGCAAGAGGGATGAATCTTTGTCGTTATCGTGTGTTAAGAGATCGTTGCATGTTCGCCGGAAAAGGCTAGAGAATCGACGTCTGAAAGCCGTCTCTTCCAGAGAGGACCTTGCGTCGCTCGGCGATGGTAACTCCGCCGACGTATCAAAGTTGGAAGATGATGCCAGGGTTTGTGTTGCTAAGAAGACACGATTGGCTAATAATGAAGTGGTGACGGTTTGTCAGTCGCGTAATGATGGTGATACGGAATTGAAAACCGATGCTTGTTCCGATGAGCTGCCGTCCAATCACTCGTCATTATCGTCGGCATCGTCGTCATCCTCGGAGAACGAAGGGGTACCGATGTTGGTCGGGGGCGGGGAAGTCTTCGGGCGAGGAGATAAATTGAGGATCCTTCCGTGTCTGTCGCACGGATCGGCTTCAGTGTGTGGGCGGCGAAGGGAGATGGAAGATGCAGTGACGGTGGTGCCGGGGTTTCTGAACGAGGAAACCGGGCTGTATGATTTTTTTGCCGTCTACGACGGCCACGGTGGTGCGAGGGTTGCTCAAGTGTGCCGGGAGCGGTTACACCGTCTACTGGCAAAGGAAATTGAAGGTAGGGAGGCGTCGGAGGTGGCGACGAAGAGGGAGGAGGATATTAAGTGGGAGGAGGTGATGTTGGCGTCCTTCGCAAAGATGGACGAAGAAATCAATGGTGATGAAGTGGTAGTGGAGGATGGATCGTCGTCCTTGAAGACGATCGGATCGACGGCTGTGGTGGCGCTAGTTGGGACGGAGAAAGTCGTCGTCGCCAATTGCGGCGACTCCAGAGCTGTTCTCTCCCGCGGCGGAGTAGCGATACCACTCTCCCGTGATCACAAGGTAATAATATGAAATTATTATTATTGTTTTGTTGCATGAATTAATTTATATTTAYCTCTTTTAAAAAGTTAAAACCTCAGATTAGGCTGCGTTTGGAAACGAATGAAAGAAAACATATTAAACAAGTGCGGGTACCTATGGAGTCTGGACGAACTTGTTTTCGATTTTTATTATTCTTTTGCTCTTTTTGGGTAAGTATAAGATGATGCTCACAAAGAAGTTGCAGAGAGTGCAGTTGTAATACACAGAAGAGTTGCATATACGTGTCATATAGGTACTGTTTGGGGCATCAAAGGTGGGGTTGCCTTTTGGTTGAGCTTTTGAAGTGTCCCCAAGTAACAGGTTGCGAGTTCCAAGGTTTTAGTGAACGTAGGTGGTAGGTTCCAGATTTGTTCTTAACGTGTCATCCCCAAGTCCAAGTGTCCTTTCACTATGTCTATCAAGAACCTGTTTGGATGGTTTGAAATTCCATCTTTTGCCGCCTGCAGGAAACCCGGTCAGGCCAGGTAGCTTGTCGTCTTACATTCTGCGGAAAGCGGAATGCACAGGTGACATTAGTACAGACATGCAGAGTCGTCCATTGTTAGGCCATGCACACGCCCACCAAACAGTATTAGACTATTAGTTGCCAAACAATTAACACACATCATCAACTTTCAGACTATTTGTGTTTGTTTCTTTCTGGCACTGATACAAAGCAGACTCTTATAACTCTTAATGCTGCGTTTGAATATAAAAAGAATGGTTAATTTTGTGTTGACAGCCTGACAGGCCGGACGAAATGGAGAGAGTAGAAGCTGCAGGTGGAAGGGTGATAAACTGGAATGGATACCGCATCCTAGGAGTGCTTGCTACTTCAAGATCGATAGGTACGTACGCACGTAAGTGGACAAATTTAATGGAAAGAGTAGTTTAATTAGCAAATAAGACATGATAGATAGACTGAAGTTGGAAAAATGTGCAGGGGATCAGTATCTGAAGCCATATGTGATATGTGAACCAGAGGTGACAGTGAGCAAGAGAACGGGGAGGGAAGAGTTTCTGATATTGGCTAGTGATGGGTTGTGGGATGTAGTGTCAAATGAGGTTGCATGCGAGGTGGTGAGAAGATGTCTGGATGGCCGGATAATGAGAAAATTGTCGGGGATGGGTGCAAGTGGAGCTGCTGAGGCTGCAGCGGTGCTAGCTGAATTGGCGATGGCTCGTGGGAGCAAAGACAACATTAGTGTTGTGGTTGTAGACCTCAGACCCCACCACGGATTAAATATTGGATCCATCTCTTGATACTTAATATATACAACAACATCCATCTACCCTCCCCTACTAATCATCATATCCATCCTTATTCCTACCATACCACCTCATAACATATTATTATTTAATTTAATGCATTTTGTTGTTTCCTGTTTCATCTTCATCTTCATCTAGTGTAATTGTGTTCCAATTGCAATATTAAAATGTCTAACAAAAATGTACGTACATGCGTGCTTTATTGGGTYCGTATTTGGTTCAAATTTCAATTTGGATTAAACCCACTTAAGTTTTTCATGAGTCTTTTTCGATTTATCCCTAAATGGGTGCCTAATTCAATCCGGGTCGGATGTGAAAGTGGGGCTAACCTAATTCTACCCGATAAAATACTGTATTGATGATGAATCTACAGTGTTTTCCATCATCGATCGAAGCACTGCTGTTTGATCGATTTGATGTTGATTTTTGGTGTTAGGTGGGCCGCCTGACAAATTCACGGGAAATGAGTAGCGTTAATGGAAGCTGAACATATATATATATATATATATAGATATGGGCTATGGTCGTGATATTAATCAATTAATAGCAAAGTGCTAGTAAATGGGGTCACAGTTTTTTTTTTTTTTTGCTTTCTTTCTTACTCTTGGTAAAACAATAGATACATTAAATTAACTAGTCAAGATACATGATACATCTAATAACCAATCCTCCTCCAACTTGAGTCCAACCCAAAAGATTTGCCACATGATGCACGGCCGTATTACCCTTTCTTGGTTCTCTATGTAAATTAAAAGAAGAAGAGACAATTCAAAAGAGATTTACACCTTTTTTACACCTGTTGGTCTTTATACAATCTAATAATCAAAGGCATCGAAGATTGAGAAGGGATATGCCACAATAATATCAGAACAAAATCATGAAGATTCCACGAATATCGCCATCAGAACTGCCCTTGGATCAGGATGCATGTGAAGCCCACTAACTATACCATGGAAAGCCTGTGCTTCCACAAGTCTGATCACGTACAAGTGAACACCAATTTGGCATGTTTTAACTATACCGAGTTATGCTATCAAATGTGTTATTCATCACAATTTATTTTAACAAAACTCTCGGGCAGAAGGTTTCCAAGTGGCAATATAAGTCCCTGTTTGGCATGTTTTTTCGTGGCCTGACAGATTGTGTTTTTGCCTTCTCCTGTATGGTTGAGAAAAGATCTAATTGTCATAAGACATTGCACTGAAAAGACATGTAAAACCCGTTTTGGGTGAAAGCTTTAAATGAAGTTTTTCGGTTATTTTCAACTCATCTTTGCATAAAAAGAAGAGTAAAAAGACAYSTTTGGTTGTCTTTAGGATGTCAAGATTTTAATGCAAAAGTTCATTCCAGAAGATCTTTTAAAAAAGAATTGCCATTGCCAAACTRCCCTTAAGTAAACACATCCCTAATCCCTTTGTTCTATGGTATGAAATAGCATAGAGGCAATGTGTCTCTCTGCCACTGGTTAGGCATATGGAAATCGATTTTCATTTTCATAAGAAAAAAAGGTTACTGCATGGAATCTCACCGTTTCATATATCATCTCCATAGATAAAGGTTGCATTTGCTACTASCACTCTATTCTTTTTTGAGTTTTTCTACCTCCAAAGCATATAACCGTTTTTTGAAACTATTCGAAGTAGCAGGCATGCCTTAGAATTGCATGTTAAGACTGATCATTAATTAATATAGTTGAAATGTCAAATTATCGTTTCTAACTCTGCACAGGTGAAGTCTGATCATTCTAATTGAAGTAATTCTCATATATATGATGTGGCAACACATACCTCATCAAATTGTATGGTTAACCCAAAATGTATGTAAAAACAGCCATGATACCAAACACAACTCAAGTTGCTGATTCTTAAACCAGACTTCACACTTGATCTCATTTTCTTCTTCTAGTAGAATGACACGTTTAGTGTGTTTATCTCAAGTATAATATTGTAGATTAAAGTTAAGCAATATATATTGTGGAGAATATATTATTAAGACACACCCATCCTTCAGTTTGTTAATTTCTCTTCTAAAATTTTCGCAACTTTCTCAATTTTAGTGATTTTCTCAGAAACCAAATGCTGCCTAACAGATTAATGTTAAACTCAAAATCTTGGGCATCTGTTATACTACTACTGATTATTGTAGAAAGTGTTGGGAAAAAGGCATAGGAACTCGTCAATAAGCACGCCATATGATGTTTTTAGCCTCTCAATCTCCTACACTTGCCCTCAATTTTTTACCTGCATTTCCATTCATTATGTGACAGATGTCTCCTCCTGTCACATGTCGAGTGGAAGTGTAGGAGATCCCCAGATGTGTTTCTAACAGATCCGGAGTTCTAAGTCTTGGAAAGATTTACAATTTAAGAAAGTTGACAACTTACCTTGGTATGTTTTGTGCACAGTTTGATCAACTTGGGTAGGGGTCTTCATCTTTAGCTTGGCCGGAATTTTCAAAGGCCTGGTCCTAGGTTTCCTGTGCAGGCATCGTCTGACTAGTAAATATATGAATGTTCATTTGTGGGTATGTTTGTTTTCTGGTAAATGGGGGCCGGTAAGTTGCTAGGTCCCATGGAAATAAAAGAAACACACGTTTGTGTTTCAGTACTAGCAGGTCCCATAGAAATAATAATTCACAAGTAGCTTAGGCCATTTTTGATTCACTATTCTAGAATGGGCAATAATGAATAATATTGGTGTTTGGTTATAAAATTCTTGTCATGGGCTTCATTCTTTTTGGTATGAAAAATCAGCCTATAGCACAAAAGTTGAGGTAGTCTGCAACATGAAAAATAATCATGCCCTATCTTACTTATTCATTCTTTAAAAAATTCTATATCGGGGGTCATAAACCACCAGCTTAGGTCTACAAAACCATCGCCATAGATGTTTACTGGCGGACTTCCATGATAACTTACGCTGATGGAYATTGATCATCAGCCATTTGCCAGTAAACATCTATGTTGATGGTTTTGGAGACCTACGTTGGCAATTTATGACTGTTGGCGTAGAGTTTTTTGGAAGAATGAAAATGAACAACATAGGGCACTTATTGGTTTGAAAAAAACAAATCATTATTTGGGAAAAATGTTTGGTCCACAGAAATTTTTTCTTATTCTTCCCATTTTTACTCATTCTTGTTGATTTTAGAATTTCTATCTTGGGTAAGAATGAGAAAGAGAGTTGAATCAAACATGGCCTCATTTACCTGGATAAGTAATACTCTCCTGATTTTTGGATAAATCACTTTCCCGTTTGCGTGATAATTTGTTAGAATATGATGGGACAATATTGTCCCTTCAATAATGACACTTTTATGGACAAAGCAAGTCATTGTATAATTTTATCTGGGAAACAAAAGAACATTGTAACGTTAGCTAACAGACTTGGACTTGAATGTTGATTTCTGAAAGTTTTTTAATCTAAACCCAGCCCTTACATAAAAAATTTGGGCCCAACCCATACAAAAGTTAAGTTGAATTGGGTTGAGCTTGCCCAAGTTGCAACCCTATTGTTGGGCAACCAAGGTTTTAAATATCTAAAAGCATAGTTGAGGTATAATGGCCTAAAAAGGTAAGGTGTAAGCTTCAAAGTTTAACAAAAGAGTTAATTTAGGTTTATAAATTGGTAAAAAAATAACATATAATATACTAAGTTAAAATGATAGAAGGTATAACCATAAAATAGAAGCAATAAGTTTCAGCATTTAAGCAATAACTAAAATAATAACTAATGAACTAACAATTATAAACATTTTGCATTACATGTTTCAAAATGTAAATTTCTCAAATTATTCAAATGACCGATTTAGAAGGAAACATATAAAGAATCACCCATATAATTGATATTGGATTTATGGTCATCCAATTGTTTAAAATAAATGAAACAACTTAGTTAATTTGATCTATGCAAAAATAAAATCAATAAAATGAAAATAAATCCATTAAGAAAAAATGAGAAAAATAACAAACTTGGGGTGTTAATTTATAATAATAAGAAAACAATCTCACTTGATTTATCCAAGAGTAGACCTATTCATGGCCTAGGCTTAGGCTTGACTTTTGCCAAAATTCTAATGGACCAAGCCCAAAACAATGTAAAGTTGAGCCTGAAGCTCGGCCTGTGAATAGGTCTATATAAGAGAAACTAAGAACTTGATTGGCCTTTTTGGTATTGAATTCTCCTATAACACTAGGAACTTGATTCGACCTATTAGTTTTACATTTTCAATCTTTTTATTTGGCTCATAATTATTGAAGTTTTTTTTTCTATATGTTTTTTCTTCCATATATATATATATATTGCAATCACTAAATAATCATTGTCACTTGAGACTTATTCCTTTTTTATGCCTCAAGCTACCTCTTATTCCTTGAGGCTTGAGGATTATGCGTCATTCTAACAAAGGCTTAAGCCTCAGGCCAAATCTATGTGCCTTGCCTACAATGTGGACAACCCATTGAGATCTTCCACACTTCAACTAGAAAAATCTTTAGATTTTCTATAGAAATCTTTTATTCTATGGAGAATAAATATGTTGTCTCTTGTTGCATTTACCATCAAGATAAACATGGTAAGCACGAATTGATCACCATCAAGCATTAGCTTATGTCCAAATTCAAATTGGAAACCATCCTATAAAAGGTAATTTGAATTCCCTTCTTTTACTATTTGATTAAATGTGTGTGGTCCATCATGAACAATATTTAAAATTTACATATAAATAATATGCATCTATTAGTAAAGTTGGTTTAAATGTTGAATCCCCACTGTCCCAAATGTGAGACTCTGAATGCAAGGTGCCAATTTGTTGGTTCGTAAGGTCTTCAGCTGGTTGTAGTGGAGACTTGGGATCAAATCCCGCTTGCACCAGTGTTGAAGGAGTTACGAGTTTGAGGGATAGACTACCCGGCCCATTGTGTAGCACATGCCGAGACAGTGATGCATCAGAAACATCTCCCCATACATGATAACATGCATATAATTAAATATAGATGTTCCCAATGTGTGGGTGTGATGTCATGTGGCTAGGGTTCTTGTGGATAGGAGATCCAAACTGACCAAAGGAAAACGAGGTTTGGTTCAATATCAATCGCTTTGGATTAACTCAAAATCTATTGCATCTTAATTTTCCCAACAAAAATGAAAAAATGACAACATCACTTATTTAGATAAATGGTAGGAGGTAACAT